ACGCGCCACCCAAGAATGGTTACAAAATGAGGTTCCTCGCTTCATTTCCAGCGCACAATGGCCAAAAAAATCTCCGGATACCAGTCCGTTGGACTATTGTGTCTGGAGTATATTGGAAAGCAAAGTTGGCACTAAAAATACCAAAGTGTCGATCACCTCAAGCAAGCGCTTCGCCGGGAGTGGGCCAAAATACCGCAGAGCAACATTCGGGCAGCGTGTGACGGTTTCATTGGCCGTTAGAAGACCATAATTCGTGCCAATGGTGACCAATTCGAACAAATCTAAACTTATTATAAATTTGATGCTATTTCCGACATTTTTTGCTTTAAGTCAATAAAATTAAAAAAAAAAAATAAAAAAAATACTTAGTTGCATTTGTTTATCTCACCCTGTATATTTAGTTTTTTTCGGCTAACTTAGTTCTGTACTTTTTGGTTCAAAAGATGAGATAAGAGTTTATTGAATTTAGAACTAAAATAGATTTTTTAAAGTTTCTATATCAAGAGAAAACAAGTTAAAAAACAGGAAGTTCGGCCATGAATACCCTCCACCATTGGGAATGAATTTGAAAATTTTCAAAAAATAAAATCTTTAAAAAAATCTGTTCAATTTTCAAAAATACCGAATATAGCCGTTTTGTTGGGGTCTATACGACGTGGACCTACAAAGGCATTGTTTGTCATAAGCCATTACCATATTCTAATTCGATAACTTGAAATATACGGTGAATAATGTAGCTAAAATCGACAAAATATCGTATATAGGGAGTTACCGTTATATCGGAGCTGTGTGAAGACCTGGACCAGCCAGGCAATTTTAAGTCAGAGGCTGTAGCATCCATTACGAAGTTAAAATACGACATCTCAAACAACTCCGGTGAATAATGTCGCTAAAATCATCAAAATACCGAATATCGGGAGGTACAGTTATATGGGGATTATACGAAGACGTGGACCTGCCCAATTTTTTTTCTTAGGCTGTAGTATCCATTCCGAACTTCAAATACCAAATTTTAAACAATTCCGGTTAATAATGTCGTTAAAATCATCAAAATACCGAATATAGGGAATTATATGGGGGCCATACGAAGACGTGGACCTGCACAGACAATTTTCTGTCTTAGGCTGTAGTATCCATTTTGAACTTCAAATACCTAATTTGAAACAATTCCGGTGAATAATGTCGCTAAAATCATCAAAATACCGAATATATGGGGGCTATATGAAAACGTGCACCTACATGGCCTATTTACGAACTTAACCTGCCTACTGGAAAAATAAACATATGTGCAAAATTTTAGCCTTCTATCTCAATTTGTTCGAAAGATAGCGTGATTACAACAGAGAGACGGACATCGCTAAATCGACTTAGAATTTTTAGCTGATCAAGAATATATATACTTTGTTGGGTCTGACATGAGTATTTCGAGGAGTTACAAACGGAATGACAAAGTTAATATACCCTCCATAGTATGGTGGAGGGTATAAAAATTACAATTGTTACCACTGAAATCCCATGCCAGCACTGCATACTATGATCTCTAAATTTTAGTTCTCTGTTATACCACATTTATTTTTCGTCAGTAGGACGAAGCGAAAGTCTGACCAGTATACTGGGCAAGTAACAAATATCCCACCGTATATGGAACCCAAGGAGCATCAACGAAAGCCTTAATCAGTCCCCAATATATCTGATCTTTGTTATTTACATTTTAACTTGAAGCGTTAAAATTGTACGAAAATTAGTTACACTTTGACAGCGACCATAAATGTATATACCCTCGTGACGAAAAACAGGGATCTTATATTTTTCGCTTGTTTTTCCTGGCCTGATAAAATGCTACTAAACCAAATTTGGACTTGTGAGATATAAGTATAATTTTTATACCCTCAGTCATATGGTTAGAGAGGGTACATATCATTTGATACGGCCAAAACGTGCCTCATCGAAATAACTGTTTTAAAACCTGGGTCTCTTTGGATCAAATCCGTTTCAGGACATTTGGAGTCGATCTAGCGATGTCCGTCCGTCTGCCTGTAAGGCTGGCAGGTACGCACAATAACTCTCGAAGAGAGTATCCGATTTGGTCCAAAGTTGGTACATCGTAATATTAATATCAAACTTAGATTGAGTTCGGAAATGGGAATGGGTCTCCTCTTTCTGGTAACTCCCCCACAAAAGTTCAAAATTTTCAAAAAATAAAATTGTATTCAAGAATCCAATTGTCTTCAAATTTCACAAATCCCAATATTTTTATTAACCCAAGGTCTGGTGTTAAGATGGAATATATCGGTCCTCTTCTTCTGCTACCTCCCCCATAAAGGTTCAACATTTGGAATATTCATGATGTTCATAAACTTAATATCCGATTCCATGCACCCTAGCCGCATCTCAATATTTCTACTAACACAAGATTGTTCTTCCTCACAAAGGGTCAATGTTTTCAACAACGAAAACGATCATAAAATTCAAATTAACCATCCGGTTCTCTTCATATTTCGCACATCCCATTATTTCTTCTAATACAAGATCTGCTGTGAAGATCTGCGAACCTCTTTTGGTACCTTACCCAATTTCCAAATGGTGGAGGGCATAAAAAGTAATTTTTATACCCTCCACCATACTATAGAGGTTATATTCATTTTGTCATTCCGTTTGTAACTCATCGAAATAATGATCTTAGACCCAACAAAGTATATATATTCTTGATCAGCGTAAAATTCTAAGTCGATTTAGCGATGTCCGTCTGTCTACCTCGTCTGTCTGTTGTAATCACTCTATCTTTCGAATGAATTGAGATGGAAGGCTGCACACATGTTTATTTTGCCAGTAGGCAGGTTAAGTTCGTAAATGCACCATGTAGGTCCACGTTTTCGTATAGCCCCCATATAACGGTACCTCACTATATTCGGTATTTTGATGATTTTAGCGACATTATTTACCGGAATTGTTTCAAATTTGGTGTTTGAAGTTCGTAATGAATACTACAGCCTATGACAGAAAATTGTCCGAACAGGTCAACGTCTTCGTATAGCCCCCATATAACGGTACCCCCGATATTCAGTATTTTGATGATTTTAGCGACATTAATTACCGGATTATTTCAATTTTTTTTATTTGAAGTTTGTAATGGATACTACAGCCTATGCCAGAAATTTGTCTGTGCAGTTCCACGTTTTATAACCCCCATGGTATTTGGTATTTTGATGATTTTAGCTAAATTATAATTTTTTTTTTCAAGTTTCGCATTTGAATATTGTAATAGCTTATGACAAAAGTTGTCTATGCAGGTCCACGTCATCATATAGACCCTCATATATGGCTACATTCGGTATTTTAATGATTTTAACAGAATTTTTAACGGATTTAATTTTTTTTGAAAATTGCCAAATTTGTACCAAAGTTCGGCTCGGCCGAACTTACAGCTTTTTTACTTGTCTAATCTCACCTAAGGCTGACCAAATATTAGAATCTACAAAGTTTGAACGCTTGCTTGCTTGCTTTTTATACAATCCACCATATTATGTAGGGTATATGAAGATTGTCATTCCGTTTGTAACACCTCGAAATTTAAATTTTAGACCCCACAAAGTATATATATTTGATCAGCATAAAATTCTACGTCGATTTAGCGATGTCCGTCCCTCTAAACGTCTTCCCGTCTGATGAAATCATAATAGAGTCCACATTATTTATTCTAGAGCTTCAAAATTTAGCATAAAAGTTTATGTTATATGCAGGTTGTTTGGTGTTGAAAATGATATGTTGGTTCTCGTTTAGGTATAGTCCCATAGCCCCCTCCAGATTTTCCGTTATTCGAGAATTTTTGCCACAATTTCCAACCAAATTAGCTGAAAAATTGACAATTGTTGGTTTCAGTAGGTCTGTTCTCTCCTTGCAAAAAATGTTCGATTCAGGTCTACTAATTGGTACCTGCCGATTTTCGGTATTTTGAATGTTTCTGCCACAATTTCCCACCAAATCATCTGAAACTTGACATTTAAGAGGTACCAAAAGGTGTGGGCCGATTTTCGTCTATCGCGAAATCGATGTAAGTTTGATAGGAATGGTACGATTTATCAAATTTTGATGAAATCGAATACTACCTTGGAAAGTTATACAGTCATTTGATGGAAAGACATATATGACCAGAACAACTCCAAATGTCTTACAACGAATTTCGTCTAAAGAGACTTAGTTTCTAACATCAATATTGCGAAGTGATGGTATGATGTATACTTTCCGTAGCCATATGGCTGAGGGTATAAAAATAAAAAAATCCCAAGTTGGCCATCGGATGCCACAATCACAAATAAATCGACTACGAATTTGCAGATCGAAGTTCTGTAATCGAAAGTACTAAATACCAATATCCGGAAATTGAAATTAATTGATTGATCCAGTCTACAAAACAAAGACAAAAATACCAAATACCATTGCACGGAACTCTTAACCGATGCAAGACCGGAATCTCATCTCATTTTTCAGCAAGAGATGTTCTAAAGCGAATGAAAAGTTGTACGTTTTCTGCCCACCCAAGGTCACTGTTAAGGGACTAGTATGTAATGCCTATATGTCGCATTGATTCTAAGATCAACCATGCCATAAATACTGTACCCTATAGATCGTACTTATTGACCAGCCCCAATCTCCTCAAATTACCTTCTAGAGCTATGAATTCTGCTTGCGCTGATCCTACATACATACTCACACGCCTGTTCCTTCTCCACATGACACTTAGCTCACTGGTCTACCATTTAATCAGAGATCTTCTGCCTCTCTCTCTCTCTCTTCTGAAGAGACCTTGTCTTTAAAGCGTTTCTTACCTTGACTTTCCTTGTTTTTTTCGTTTCATTTTCCTTGTTAGTATTTTCAGAACCACATAAACTAAAAATCGTTTATCACCTCTTTAATTGTTTGCAAAATATCCCAATTATTATAAAAATAAAATGCAACAACAATAACATATAAGCTTAAAAAGTTAATTTTTTTCTACTCACTTGCCGAACTAGTCGAGACACGACCCATCGGTATATAACTCCGACTGTCGCTGTTGTCCTGCGAAAAATTGATGACATTCACATCGTAGGTGACCACAGAGGCCTGACGTTTGCGTACCGTTTGGATGCCTTCGTATCCGGTCAGTAGAGAGCTACGTTTGCGTCCACCACCACTAACAGAGGTAGTCGTGAGTGTTGTTTCCGGTTCGCTGTCAGGACGTTGATACAAAGGTGATGCTAAGTCTTTCTCCTCTCCTGTTAAAGAACCGCCACTGCCGCTCAGACCATTGCCACCATTGGCAGAACGCTGCATTGTGGTGGGCGACAGTGTGGAATCTAAAATAATTTCCGGTTTGGGTGAGAGATTCGTTGGTTGTACGTGGCCGTGTGAGGGAGGTTCGAGTTGTTGTTGATGCTGCTGTTGCTGTTGCGTTGGGGTGGGGTTATTGGCCAGTGTGGTAAAGACATCCAAGGACACCGTTGAGGTATCGCTCACAATGAAATTGTGATTTGTTGCCGATGGCGAGCTGGTAAGTGCAGGAAATGCGGGTTGGGCCGTGGCGGTGGGTGGTGGCGATAGGAAATAGACATTTATGCTATTGCCGCCCAGACTGGGTGTGGCCGAGAAAGGTGAGTGGCCCAAGGTATTGGGACTGCGGCTAACGGGTAAGTTAATGGCCGAATTGAAGTTCGGTGTTATGGGCGGTGACATCAGGAAGTTACTGCTGTTCTTGTTCACCAAAATCTGATCACTTAGCGTGCTCATGCGCTGCTTTATCGACTCCTTGCGCAGTGTGTGACTGGCATCAGTGGATTTTTGGGATTTTTCCGGTGATTCTTTGTGAAACGATTGTTCGGTGGAGGGAAAACTCAGAGAACGAAAAAGCTCTACCAACTCGGAACTGGATTTTTGAGAACTCTGGGATTTCTCGGGTATGGTGGAGTTAGTGTCGGACTTTAGGGCTTCCGGTATGGAGGCATCCATGAGAGAAGAAGGGGACAAGGAGGGTGGTGGGGTGGAGGGTAGTAACGGCGAGTCGTTGGAGGTAATGTCTTTGAGAAAAGACAAATCATCGGGTCCCACTTCTTGTACGGTGTTGGCGCCCAAGTCGATCAATTGGAAATGGGTGGCATGTCTGCTGGGTGGACTATCATTTGCCCCCTCCTGCTTGGGTTGACTTTCGTCCATTTGCTCGGAATGCTCATTGAGAACATTGATATCGAGTAGAATATCAGGGGTATTGTAGCGACTGGTGGAATCAATGCTATCACCAAACAGCCTGGGCAAATAAACATCCGAATCTGTGTCACTGTGTTGCCGGGAACGCATGTCATGTTTCCGTTCCTTAAGCAGCCCCCCGTTGTAGCTGTGAGAGAGTTTACGATTGCGGGACCTTTTGAAAAGCTGAGAACGACTTGGCTTGATTTCTTCCGAATTGGCTTGATGTCGTTTCTTTTCCAGCGAAAAACATTCGGTACTGGAACGTTTGGTCTTGGCCAGCAGAGATTTCAAGTTGAAGCCCTTGCTGCTTTCCTCTTTGGGTGTGGAGTTGACGGAGCCCTCCTTGAGGGAATCCAAATGTTTGGCCGTCTTCTTGCCTTTCAAATCTCCATAGTTTTTGAGGAACTCTGAGTCACTGGCGGCAAAGGATTTCTTTGTGGCCGACGATCCTGCTTGGCTGCGCTGGCGATTTTCACCATTTTTCATGCGTATAAAATCAGTCTCACTCAGGGCTGGGTATTTATTGCCTGAAAAGGATTCTTTGTTTTGTTGTTGTTGTTGCTGCTGTTGGTTATCACTGGCTTTTTGCAGCTGACCCGCTTGCCGTTTATAATACAAATAATTATCTTCGATGAGACGTTTAAGCTCTTTATTATCCTCGGATAGAGGTATGAGGGTTGCTGGAGCGGCAGTTTGTTTTAATTTTATTAAATAATCGTTGCTCTCGCTGTCATCTGAGTTGAGGATACCACCACGACCAACGCCATACTCACCGCCACTGCTACCCCCACTACCACCAAATATGCTGTGGTATTGATCGGAATCACAACCAGAGTTTCTGTAGAAATTTGAATCCTGCCTCTTGAGCGATTCCCGGCTGGAGGCTGAGGCATTTGTAAATTGCTTGCCGTTGCCATTCACCCTGGGTATGGGTATGGCAATGCTTTGCTGTAATGGAGAATCATTTTTCATATCCTGCCAAATTTGCGGATTATAATTGATGAGATCCTTATTGGCGCAGGGCACTTGTAATTGCTGCTGCTGTTGTTGTTGCGTTGCATTATTGCCCGTGGTGGCGGCATAGTGCAATGCTATCATGGAGGGGGCGCTGTCGGTGTGGGTCACCTTTTCATAACGTTCCTGTTCGAGATCACGTAAATCAATACTACTACGGCTGAGACGTCTGGGTGGTGGTGAGGGCACCCGTAACTCATCGCATTCATCCTTGTCATCGTCATCGGTTTGTGGTATCTCCTGTAAAGATATGGAGTGGCGTGTGTGTGTGTTGATGAGAAAAATGTAGAGCAGAAAAAACAGGTTTAATATGCTTATCATGTTGCCAGGTCAAAAGGGAAATATTGATGGACTCTTTGACATTGTGGCTATCAAAAAAAAAAAAAAGGAGAAGGATGTCCATATTTTGTCTTCTCCTGGAAGCCACATCCTTAGATTATTATCAATTCTTTGAGAAAATATTACACTGTGGAACACAAAAATTGAAGAACCTATATGAATATAGAAGAGGAGTGAAATATTGAAACCTTCAGAAGAATTTTGTTTCAAGTTGCGACAAGTATTTCCTCCAAATTCGTAAAAATGACGGAGATATTCGACTATTTTTTCGAAAAAAAAAGAGTCTAGGGTTTTTAAAAAAAGAGTGAGATGAAAAAATTGCAACCAAATTCAGACTGCTGTCATTTCTAAGCCACTCGTCCGACAGCAGTAAAAATTATTCCAGTGAAAGCTCATTCGGTACAAAGGCATTTTGGTGGGAATTTTCCAGGAAAAAAGTTATTCGTGATGTAATTCAAGCGTGATTGTGTGATTTCTTTATATTTGGCTGGAAAACAACAAGTGGCTATGGTTAGAGCACTCCAGCATTTAAATGTGCATAAATCGTTTGTGTCTCGCACCATCGCTCGTTACCGTGATACTGGTAGAGTAGCCCGACTTCAAGGAAGTGGACGGAAGAAAACAGCAACATCAGCAGAAATGGTTCAAAAAGTAAAGAAGCGACTTGGTCGAAACCTGTGTCGCAGTGGCCGAAAAATGGCTCTTGAGCTGAACATATCGCAATATTCCATTCGGCAAATATAGACAAATGAGCTCGGGGTAAAGCCATTGAAATTCCAAAAAGTGCAAAAACTTACGCCGCAACAGAAAGAAAATAGACTCTAAAGAGCAAGAGAGCTGCTTCGTTTGGCCGAAAGTGGTGAACTGCCGAATTTGGTTTTCTCCGAAGAGAAAACATTCGTTGTCCAGCAGTTTGTAAACAAACAAAATGATCGTGTTGACTTGCCAAAGAGGTCAGCTGAATAAGGTGCACCTTCGGTTGGCCACCAGAACTCAAGTGCCGGCCATGGTGATGGTGTGGGCCGCCATAACAGCCGATGGTCGCCCTCCGCTCGTATTAATCGAAGGTGGCATCGGATTAAATGCCGAATATTATCGCGAAAATATTCTGGAGGGTGTATTAAAGCCTAGGGCACACAAACATTTTGGCCGCAGACCTAGGACATTCCAATAGGACTCAGCACCATCGCATTCAGCAGGCGTCACCCAATAATGGTTACAAAATGTAGGCCGCCATAATAGCCCATGGTTGCTCTCCGCTAGTATTAATTGACCGTGGCTTCAGAATAAATGCCCATAATGGCACGCAAAAATTTTGGCCGCAGACCTTGGACATTCCAACAGGACTCAGCACCATTGCACTCGGCACGCGCCACCCAAGAATGGTTACAAAATGTGGGTCGCCATAACAGCCGATGGTCGCTCTCCGCTCGTATTAATTGACCGTGGCTTCAGAATAAATGCCGAATATTATCGCGAAAATATTAAAGCCTTGGGTACGCAAAATTTTTGGCCGCAGACCTAGGACATTCCAATAGGACTCAGCACCATCGAACTCCGCATGCGCCAAGTGAGGTTTCTTGTTTCATTTCCAGCGCACAATGGCCACCAAAATCACCGGATACCAATCCGTTGGACTATTGTGTCTGCAGTATTTTGGGAAGCAAGGTTGGGACTAAAAAATACCAAAGTATCGATCACCTCAAGCAAGCGCTTCGCCGAGAATAGGCCAAAATACCGTAGAGAAACATTCGGGCATCGTGTGACGTGATGTGATGTTTCATTGCCCGTTAATTCGTGCCAAAGGTGACCAATTCGAACAAATCTAAACTTATTTTCAAATTTGAATATTTTTCCGACATTTTTTGTCATTCAATAAAATTTAAAAAAAAATGTAAAAATTATGGCGTTTGACTTTGTTGCAGTTTTTATCTCACCCTGTATTTAAAAATTTTCGATATTTTATTTTATTTAATTATTTTTTTTATTTTCATTTATTTATTTATTTTTTTTTATTTTTTGAAAAATCTTAGATTTTTCAAATTTTGAAAAAATCGACGATTGCTCTGAAATTTCTGTTCCACAGTGTTAAATTCAAATTTAACCGTTTGCTAACTCACCTCAAAATGACTTATGGCACTATGAGTCTCTTCTCTCGTTAGGGTTAATTCACATTCACTGGGATGCAAATAGTTCAGATTGGTGGGCTGCTGGGTGTGGCCCATGTGTACACTATTCAGCAAAATATTGGAACTGGTGCGACTTAAGGCCTTCCGTTGTCTGACCGCTTCTCTGCAAAACAAAAACACAACCACAACACAAACAATTTCATAGTTTCTTTTTTTCATAGTTTCTCATCCAATTCTACTCACTTGTATATTCGAAAATACATAACCAACATCACAATGCCCGGTATCCAAAAACTAACCGAACTGGAGATGAGGGCATACGCCTTGTTCACCACAAAGGAACATTGATCGGGATTTTGGGAAATTTCCTCTAAATGTTCGGCCGTTGTGTACCAACCCAAAAATATTGGCGTAAACGATATGAGGGCAGGCAGTATCCAAACGTTGGCCAGCATAAAACAAACCGTTTTGTGTGTCATATTCAATGGATATTCCAGTGGCCGGACAATGGCATAGTATCTGTGTTGATGAGAGGGAGAGAGAGATATAAAGAGAGTGATTGAGAGAGGGAGTAGCATACATGAACAGATGAACTGGATATTAAAAACGTCATTTGGTGTCACACAAAATGTTGTTGTGGTTTTAAAGTTGATGTCGGTTTTATAGTTGTTGTTGTACGTTTAATGTTAAAGTTCACATTATAGTGGGTAACGGTTACCTTTTTTAAACCCTCCACCATAGTATGGAGGGTATATTAAGTTTGTCATTCCGTTTGTTACTCCTCGAAATATAAATTTTTTACTTTACAAAGTATATATATTCTTGGTCAGCATAAGATTTAATGTCGACTTAGCGATGTTCGTCCCTTTGTCCGTCTGTTGAAATCACTATTTTCGCTATTTTGGTGATTTAAGACACATTATTCGCCGGAATTGTTTCAAATTTGGTATTTGAAGTTCGTTTGATGGACACTACAGCCTATGGTAGAAAATTGTCCGTGCAGGTCCACGCCTTCATATAGCCCCCATATAACGGTACCTCCCTATTTTCGGTATTTTGATGAGTTTAGCGACATTATTCACCGGAATTATTTCAAATTTGGTATTTGAAGTTTGTAATGGATACCACAGCCTATGACAGAAAATTATCTGTGCAGGTCCACGTTTTGATAAAGCTCCCATATAACCACATTTCAAAATTTTTCTCTCAAAATTGTCAAGAGGAAGTCTATATAGGCGAGTTGAAGACCACGGAGTCTATAAATGGGAGCTGGAGGCCAAGGAATGTATATATCCAAGCTGAAGGCCAGGAAGTCCATAAAAGTTTGTTGAAGGCCAGGGGAGCTGAAAGCAATATGGACGAGACGAAGGACAGGAAGACTATACAGACGAACTGAAGTTCAAGTAGACTATGTGTAGGATGTGAACTATAATTGGACTTAATAATAGGCTTTAACTGTTAACTGGAAGCTATCTTAATCCACAGGTACTTTTTCGTATACATGGCTCTAACTGATCAATCTATGACCACTTTGTATTATTGGTACTTTTCGTTTTAAAAATAATTCAAAATTTTATTTTTCGGAACATTAACATTTAAAACGCATATCCAAAAAAATCTACATCTCTAACTCATAGACACCAACAATGATCCACAATTACTAGCATTTAGTAGTTGTCGAACAATTAAAGTACACATTTCCGAATCCAACACCAAATCTAAACACCAGATACCAAAAACGTCATCAATATAAAATTTCGGGATTTGCAGCCCTATCCCTTCACCCAATAAAGTACCATGTAACACTTTCTGATTAATTATTTCAAAACCAACTTGGTACATTGTAATATTATAATCGACCCACAAAAGGTCAAATTTTTCAAAAAAAAAATATTTTACTGCACAGAAAAAGAATTGATAATCCACAAATTCTAATATTTGTGCTAGGTCAGGTGCTAAAATGAACAATATCGGTCCACTCTCCATCAAGTACCTTCACACAAAGGGTAAACGTACGTTTATATATATGAGGGTTAACCCACTGGATTTGGATTTAAATTGTCACATCCATTACTTTTACTTCAAATAAATCCTCTCAAAGTAGGTTAACCCTACAAAAAGTTCTAACGTAAACATGGCATAAGAGTTCGATTGTCTTTAAGTTTCACACATCACAATATTTTTATTAACCCATGGTCTGGTGTGAAGATGGGTTACATCGGTCCGCTCGTTGTGGTACCTCCTCCACGAAGGGTCAAAATTTTGAATATCCGTGAAGTTCATAAAATGCGAAATTAACATCCGATTTCATTCAGACCTGGTATATCTCAATATTTCCATCAACACGCGATCTGTTATAAAGATGGTAGCTCCCCCACAAGGGTCAACGTTTTGACTAATCAAAACGATTATAAAAATCGAAATAAATATCCGGCTCTCTTCATATTTCACACACCACAATATTTGTATTAACCCAACATCTGGTAGAAAGATTGGATATATCGGTCGACTCCTTCAAAGGTTCAAGATTTTGAATATCCGTGAAGGTCATAAAAAACTAAATTAATATACGATTCCATTAAGGTCTTGACCAATCTTAATATTTCTATTAACATAAGATCTGTTATAAAGATTGTCGAGATTGGACTAATTCTTCCGGTACCTCCCCTACATACATGTACATGTTGAAAACACAAGATCTGTTGCGAAAATGCTATAAATCTGTGTACTCTTTCTGGTATCTGACCCACAAAGCGTCACTATTATCAATACTATTTATACTATGAACAATATCGGTCCACTCTATCAAGTACCTCCCCCACACAGGGTTCACATTTCGAATAATTACAACTCTATAAAATGTAATGCAAGAGTCCGAAATTTCACACATCCCTATATTTATGTTACCTCCCCCACAAAAGTTCGAAATTTTCAAAAATATATTTTCAGTTGTAATTATTCAAAATTTTGATGCCTTGTGTGGGAGGTACTCGATAGAGCGGACCGATATTGCACTGATGCAAATATTAAGATTTGCAAAGTTGGAGCAAAATCGGATTATCCTTTCTCTTTCTGTGCTGAAAATATATTTTTTTAAAATTCCGAGCTTTTGTGTGGGAGGCACCAGAAGAGTAAACATTTTGTATATTTATAACTCTTAGATAATATGATGTAAGAGTCTGATTGTCTTCAAATTTCACACATCCTAATACTTTTATGAACCTAAGAACTGGTATTAAGGCGGTGTAATAACAATATTTTTATCTGTATTAGATGAAATATGGTAGTGGAATACTTCGGTCGACTATATCTAGTACCTCACGCACATTTTAACATTTTTTAAAAATTATGACATATCTCATATATCTCATATAAATAGTCCAAACCTGGCACGTCGCATAATTTATATCATATTAATTTAGGTCCCATACGAAATGGACAATATTGACCCATTCTTTCAAAACCCACTCCATAATGGGTCAAAAGTTTGAATAATTATAACAGAAGTCAAACTATTTTTAAAAAATCGAACATTGGCCGAGGGTATACATCTGTCGGCAAAGCCGACTGATACTTTTTTTCTTGTTTATTAAATTTTGCCCATACCAATACTTTTTTAATGAATGGGCAAAATGTAATAGATGAAGTACGAAAATGGTATAATTCAGTTGACTATATCTGGTACCTCACACACATTTTAGCAATTTCTAAAATCTAAACATATCTAATTAAAAGTGAAGGCCAAATCTGGCACATCGGGTCAAAAAAAAATTAAAAGTTACCGTCTTGTTTATTATTTTCTGTACCGTTAAAGTAGAAATTTCGAAAAATCCACCTTTAAGTGCTTTTCATTTCCTTAACATATGAATTTCAAAAATTTGCGGCATATTCCACCCCTCTGCAAAAATAGTTAATTTCATGTTAAGAGTGTAACTACGTCCATTTCACCTGGACGCTCATCAATTAGTCAGTCAAATTACTTAATCTCTCATTAATATAGATTCGTACATGTTTTCGACTTATTGCCTACGTAACGGAATTGCTAGATTTTAGATATTTCAAAGTCCTTAACTACATTTTCCAACCGAAACTAGTTTTCCAATTATTAGTAATTTGCTATAATGCAACTAGTTTCTTATGTCAAAGATTTTTGCCATTTTTTTTTAATTTTTTCATGGCGACAGAATCTTCATTAAAGGTGGATTTCACCTTTATGTCATCCAAACTTTTCCTTTCACTAATTTATATCACCCCTCTCAACTACTGGAGGTAGGATAAAGAAATAAGTTTTTTTCATAATTAATATTACCCATGTGTGTGTGATGTTTAAGTTTAATCTCCTTTGGAAGTCTTAATGAGGACACAGAGTTCCTTACAGAAGTAAAACCTAAATTCCTTTTACTTCTTGGCCCGGGATTTCTTTCTTATCACAATATTTGTGTAATTGTGTGGGTGTGTGTATATATGACACAATGAGGCGGGGTTGTGTGTGTGAATGGCTGTATGAGTATTCTTGGTTTGCCTTAAGGGAACCATTAATCATTACATTTTTGCCAAAAAGTATTTTAATTTAAGTGCATAATGATGTTGGTGGGCAACTAAGAGTGTGTGTGTGTGGTGCGTGAGCGCGCTTTAACGTTCCTTTGGTTTTCGGTAGGACTTCCTTTACACTTTTACCACATTCTTATCGACGGCAATATCATTGTGGCTAAGAGAAATTAATATTTGTGTGAAGACAACAAAAACAACAACACCATTTATTTAATGTTGGCGGGCGGGCTGGCTGGCATTTTTCCCCAGAAGTTATTTCAAAACTTCCTTTTCCGAAGAGGAGTATTAACAAATAATAAAAATATCGAAATGAAAAATTATTATCGCTCACCAACGAAAGTGAAATGATTTTGAACAATTGCATTGGTAATGATTTGTTATGAAATCGGGAACTGGGAACTGGCAACAAATGACAGCCGTTCCATGGGAATTGCTGAGTGGCCAGAGAAAAAGTAATTTATTAATTGATAAATTGTTATGGAATAATTTAATTGAAATTTCAATGTGATTAATTAATTGTTAAGGATAAAATATTATAAAATAAATGCTTTTTAATGAAATTTATTAGCCAACAAAAAATAAGAATACTGGATATAGTTTAAATATATTTCATCTCCCACATTTAGGGGCACAAATACAGAGTTAGATGAAAAAAATGTTACCAACTTCAGACTGCTGTCATTTCTAAGCCACTTGTCCGACAGCTGTTAAAATTATTCCAGTGACAGCTCATTATATTGTTTACAAGCGTACAAAAGTATTTTGGTGAGAATTTTCCAGAAAAAAATTATTCGTGATTGAATTCAATCGTGATAGTGTGATTTCTTTACAATTGGCTGGAAAACAACAAGTGGCTATGGTTAGAGCACTCCAGCATTTAAATGTGAATAAATCTTTCATGTCTCGTAGCACTGCTCATTATCGTGATACTGGTGGCGTAGCCCGACGTCAAGCAGGTGGAGGGAAGA